TATTTTTCCTAAGTTGTGCTATCCCTCCTCACCAGCTTTATTGCATTTTTTAAAATCTCCTTCTTTGTAATAACTGTTTGGGTTTCTGGCTTTGCTGGCTCCTTCAAGGCTCCCAATCTCTGATCTCAGAGTCAGACATGGTGGAGTATTATGTGGAGTATTATGTGGAGTCTGCACCTTCTTCTCTTGCCATCCATCCCACCCTGCCAGCTGTTAAGTGAGACTAATTTTAAATATGGATTTAGTAAGAGGTAGAAAGCAGTACTTTACAACAGGTTCACTACTATGAAACTGGAGCCTCAAAAGATAGCTAAGGCTGTCTTATATAAGAGTTAGGGGTGAGGTGAAGCAATATCATGAAGATATAGCAAAAATCGAAGGGAGAAGAGTTGTTGGACAAGTTTATGTTTAATGCAAGTGGAGAACGGCCCTTTGATTCTTAAGATTTTAACTAAGCAGCAGTGATGAAAGATGCAGGTACTATGTATTTATTTGGGGATTTGTAGCCTATTTAGGATGGATTTGCACCTAGCTGAAGTGCAGAAAAAACAATTACTATCAACCTGCCTTCGGTCGAAGACCTGTATACTGCACGAGTCAAAAAGAGGGCTGTGAAAATATTTACAGATCCCTCACATCCCGGACATAAACTGTTTCAACTCCTTCCCTCAAAACAATGCTTTAGAGCACTGCAAACCAGAACAACTAGACACAAGGACAGTTTTTTTCTCAAACACCATCACTCTGCTAAACAAATAATTCCCCCAACACTGTCCAACTATTTATGGAGTCTGCACTACTATTACTATTAATCTTCTCATCACTCCTTATCACCCATCCCCTTCCACTTGTGACTGTATGACTGTAACTTTGTCGCCTGTATCCTTGCGATTTATATTGACTGTTTCCTAGTATGATTTCATTGCTTATTGTACCCTATGACTATCATTAAGTGTTATACCTTATGATACTTGACTCTTGACGAATGCATCTTTTCTTTTATGTACACTGAGAGCATTTGTACCAAGACAAATTCCTTGTATGTCCAATCACACTTGGCCAATAAAGAATTCTGTTCTATTCTATTCTATTCTATTCTATTCTATTCTATTCTATTCTATTCTATTCTATTCTATTCTATTCTATTTGGAGATTCTTTCAAGAACCATGGCACAAGGTGTTAGGAATTGATAGTCACCTAACAGTGGGGTTGGAAATATATAAACCAGGTTAGGCATGGAGCCAGAAACCTTGGTTGTTAGTTCTGTTGTTAGTTGCTAGTTGCTAGATGTTCTGATGGTCGATGTTCTTTGGTTCCTGCATTTTTCCCTATTGATTGTTGCTGATCGTTGTTCTTCTTGGATTGCTGTGAGTGTTACTGAACTGTTTATGATCCTGGACTTTGTTATTTGGATTATCCCTGGACTAAATACTGACTGCTTTAACTGTGTATGACTTGGACTGCTTGTTGGACTTTGCTTAACCGTTTACTGGAAGTAAAACCTACATTTTACTATTCAGTGTATCTGTGTGCTGGTCATGTGTTATTCAACATCACTCTCACTACGTTTCCCTGTGCGCACTCATTCTCCTAACAGGGAATTACCTCAACACTGACCCAAGCCTTGTTCCAAGGAAACAAACACGAAACAGAGGTAACAGCAAAACCTTTTAATGATTCTTTATGAATTCCATTCCTTCATGGTTAAAAGGCTATTTCAAACTAATTGTCTCTGATAAGGTATATAACACAACACAAGGTATATAAAGGAAAAGGATCTCAGATAAGGAACTCCTTGTGTTGAAATAAATCTTACAATGCAAAGCCTTGAGAGAATTGTCTCCAAATTCTTGTCTCTAGTCAAAGTAAAGATTTTGCCTGGCTAGTAGGATTGGCATCTCCCTAAGCACAATAAGACACTGTCCATTGAAAGTTGCTATAATGGTCCAATGCCTGTTGGAGCCAGTGGTGGGCTGAAACCAGTTTTACAACCAGTTCTGTGAGTCTGCGCTTTGTGTGCTCACAGCATTCAAAACACAGCAATTTGAACCTCAACTGCTTACTTTCTGGGGGCCATGATGGCGAACCTATGGCACACATGCCAGAGGTGACACGCCGAACCCTCTCTGTGGGCACATACACAGGCCAGCTGGTCTTCAGGTTTCTGGTGCTCCGGCATGTGTGAAGACCAGCTGATCCTTGGTTTCCGGTATACGCAAAGGCCAGCTGACCAATATGCACCTGCACACCAGCCAATTGGTCTTTGGGTTTCCAAAGCTCTAGCATGCGCAAAGACCAGCTCGCCGGCACACACATGTGCACCGGCCAGCTGGTCTTCAGTTTCCAGTGCTCTAGCATGCGTGCACATGTGCCCACGTGCCTGCGTTCCGGTTTGGGCACTCAGTGCCGAAAAGGTTCGCCATCACTATTCTAGGGTGTCCCCAGTAAGTAGAACAGCTGAGGTGCAGAAATCAGCTGTGCTGCGTGAATCAGCTGAGCCAGAAAGACAGAAATATAGGACAGGGTAGAGTGTGTGTGTGTGTGAGCCTGGGCCATCTGATAGTCAGAACTACCGGATTACTAGAACCGGTCCAAACCGGCATCAGCCCACCACTGGTTGGAGCTTGAGGAGCTCTCCCAAACTGTGAAACAGCCCTTCACAACGGAGTACAAACCAATGCAGAACAGAGTTCTTCACCTGCCAAGCTTTTCTTTCTTTCTTTCCAACAGTATTCAAAGCCATAACAGATAACAGATACTCAGAATTGGAAGGGACCTGGTAGGTCATCTAGTCCAACCCGCTGCCCACGTGGGAGACCCTACATCTATTTCTGACAAATGGCAATCCAATCTCTTCTTGAAAGTCTCAAGTGATGGCGCTCCCACAACTTCCAAGGGCAAGCTGTTCCATTGGTTGATTGTTCTCGCTGTCAGAAAGTTTCTCCTTATTTCCAGGTTAAATCTCTCCTTGTTCACTTTCCATCCATTATTCCTTGTCTGGCCAACAAATAAAAAATAGCTTGACCCCTTCCTCTCTGTGGCAGCCCCTCAATTATTGGAAGACTCCTATCTTGTCTCCCCTGGTCCTTCTCTTCACTAGACTAGCCAAGCCCAGTTCCTGTAACTGTTCTTCATATGTTTTAGTGTCCTGTCCCCTAATCATCCTGGTTGCTCTTTTCTGTACATTTTCTAGAGTCTCAACATCTTTTTTATAATATGGTGAACAAAACTGAATGCTGTACTCTAGGTGTGGTCTTACTAAGGCTTTATAGAGTGGTATTAGTACTTCTCTTGATCTTGATTGTATCCCTCTGTTAATGCAACTTAGGGTTGCATTCACTTTTTTGGCGGCTGCTGCACACTGCTGGCTCATATTTAGCTGGTTGTCCACTAAGATTCCAATATCCCTCTTGCAGTTACTGCTATTGAGCCTGGTTTCATATGTGTACTTTTGATTTTTCTTGCCTAAGTGTAGGACATTAATGAAGAAATCCAACATCTTCAGAGTGCAGGCTGCAAGCCATTAGAGCAGATTCAAAGTTTCCATTCTGAATCTCTTTCTCCTGCTTGTATACTATGACATGCTGAAAGCTTGTCAGTTTGTGTATTGTTATGGTGACAGACCAATCCAGTCTCGTGATGTTTCCCTCTGACTTTGGCATTTCCCACATCTTTTTTCCAGCACAGAATTTCCACTAAGGTGACTAAAGCAGTCTTTGCACTATATTGTGGATTAACTATATTTAATCAAGGTATACCGGTTCTCATGTAATGTCTACTTGGTCAGCAATTGTTCAAACACACAGTGGTGCTGAACAAGTGATATTTATGACTGGTTCTCATACTTATGGTTGCAGTGTCCCATGGCCACTCGATGGCCATTTGTGACCTTCTTTGTCAACTTCCTACAAAAAAAGTCAATGGAGAAACTGGTGGGAGGTTACAAATGGTAATATAAAGATGTCCTTGCATAAAGAGATACGGTGCTTCATTTATCAACACTAAATGGGAGTGTCATAGGGGTTATGTCTGCTGTGTCGGCAGCACTGTCCCTCTCTAGCATTCATGTCCATTATTCTATGATGTATTTCCTGCCTCTGTAGGATTTACCTCTATCTGCTCCTGTGGGGCAATTTCCTGTTCCTATTATTTGTGTGTGTGTGTGTGTGTGTGTGTGTGTGTGTGTGTGTGTGTGTGTGTATGTGTATTCCCAGTGATGGCTTATGACTTTTAACTGCAATTGATTAAACTTCTTGAAACATGGTGCGCTGGAACACCATGACATTGCACTTTATAACTATGTCCCATAGTGATGAAAATTCTAGCCCCAATTATCATTAAGTGAGGACTACCTGTATTAATGACTTCAATTTCCAAAACAACTAACACTAACCCTTGAAACCAAAAAGAGGAAGAATCCATACTGTTATTCACAAAAAATCAGAAGCCAATAATATAAGTCAACTCTCTCCTCAGGTAGAGATGATTAATAACAGCCTGTGTGAGTGCATATGATTTAGATAATGTCAGCTTAACTGCTCCATACGTCTTGCTACTAAGGGTATGAGCTCCACTCTCCCCAGCTGCTGATGAGTGATGTAACTACATGCCACATCACCTCATCATCTGCTGCTAGGTTTGTGGAAGAATTAAGACCACCTGCTGATTTAAACCCTCCTGGATTTACATCTGTTTCTCTCTTCCCACCCCTGCATCAATTATGCAGCAAAAGTATAAATAGGTGCCATCTTGTGTCTTGATGGCATTGAAACCACAGGCTTGTTAACAAGTGTTCCTGGCAGTTATAATCCAATGTGTGGTAAACCTTGTTGTCAGCACTGCCAGCATTTGACAAATTGCAATCGTATAAAAGATGTTGTATGAGAAATGTGTTGGCAGGATAACAAAATTCAGTTGGATGCTAAATACGTATATCAGGATTGGTGAGCTTTTACCAGATTGGGATTTTTCTTTGTTATTAGTTAGTTTTCCAGAAATGGAGGCATGGGCTTTGTCTGATGAAACTCTTTCTCATTTGTTACAGATGTGCATCTGTTCACTATACTGCAGATCTGCCGGCCACAAGCATTATTATCACTTTTCACAATGAGGCTCGCTCCACTTTGCTCCGCACAGTGAAAAGGTACCTCATACTTTTTGACTTAAGAGTGATGGACATAATGTATGCAAGAATTAATTTCCGCTGTGATTAATGGTGTTTATTCTGAGTAAAAAGAGAACAATCCAATATTGGAATCCCAGGAACACAAGAAAGTCTTGTTGAACTCAGCATGACATA